AGCGGGTCGGGAGCGAGTCCGGGGCAGAGGCTCCACATGCCTCTGCTCCCGTCCTAAGAACCACGAGGTCCGCTGTTTTGCGGGTATTGAAAGGTTGTCGAGTCTGCCCGGGCACTCCGTGTCCCCTGCGCGTGCCTTACTGGTCCTGCCACTTCTACCCCGCGACTTAGCCGCGGACGGTTCTTGGTCCCCTTGCAGGCCCCAGGTGGTCACTAAGACTTGTTTCCTCTTCCCTTCCCAAGGACTTGAAGGAGAAGAAGGAAGTTGTGGAGGAGGCGGAGAACGGAAGAGATGCCCCCGCTAACGGGAACGCTGTGAGTGCGCGGGGCTCGGGCGGCCCTGCGGGAGGCTCCGTGCTGGATCTTGGTCCACCGACGGGGGGTCTCAGGCCCACTCCTGGAGGGACCAGGCTGCCTCTGCAGGGCGGGCGGGCTGGGTGGGAGCAGGCGCGCTCTGGCGCCATCCTTGCGCAGACGGTTAACGACCGCGTTTGCTGCCGAGCAGAATGAGGAAAACGGGGAACAGGAGGCTGAGAATGAGGTAGACGAAGAAGAGGAAGAAGGCGGGGAGGAGGAGGAAGAGGAGGAAGAAGGCGACGGTGAGTAGTCCGGCTCCGGTTTTTCTTCTGAGTGTCTGAGTGCTTTCACTGCGCTGGCCTGGCAGAAGTGGGGCTGGTGCTCCTGGGGGTGGGCCGGGGCCAGGACTTTGCCGGTTGATGGAGTCAGGGCCCCCTCCTGCTTTAGGCTTCCGCCCCGGGTGTGGGTGTTCAGCTACAGCTACAGGCCACTGGCCTCAGGGTGCAGCTGCACGAGCTCTGAGCTCTGCCGCCATCCTGTTTGAGTAGAGTCCCTGAAGAGCCACTAGGAGGGGGCGGTGTGTGTGGCTCACCTGGTCCTTGGATCTGATCTCTCCAGGTGAAGAGGAGGACGGAGATGAAGACGAGGAGGCTGAGGCAGCTACGGGCAAGCGGGCAGCTGAAGATGACGAGGTGGGTTCTGGCCGGCCCCAGCAGGGGAGGGGCTCGGTCTGAGGTCGCTCTCTGCTGCTGTCCAGCGGCAGGTACGCAGGCAGTAAAGCTGGAAAGATGGTACCCAGACTAGCTGGGACAGTGTGTGACCTGAGTGGGCCCCTCATGTCTCAGCTAGAAGCCGTGTGGAGCCCAGGCAGTGCCTGGTCCTGGCTCTGCAAAGCCAGTTGGCTGGAGACCAGGCTGCGGGGTTGGGAAGGACCTTGACGGTACCTCTCTGCCTAGGACGATGATGTGGACACCAAGAAGCAGAAGACCGGAGAGGATGACTAGACAGCAAAAAAAAGGAAAAGTTAAACTTAAGAAAAGGCCGCCGTGACCTATTCACCCTCCACTTCCCGTCGCAGAATCTAACTGCGGTCACCTTCCAGTGGAGAGGCCCGCCCGCCCAGCCACCGCGGGCCGGGCAAACTTCCAAGGCCCTGCTTTTTTTCTTAAAAGTACTTTAAAAAGGAAAATTTGTTTGTATTTTTTATTTACATTTTATATTTTTGTACATATTGTTAGGGGTCAGCCATTTTTAATGATCTCGGATGACCAAACCAGCCTTCGGAGCGTCCTCTGTCCTACTTCGGCTTTACTTGTGGTGTGACCATGTTCACTATAATCTCAAAGGAGAAAAAAAACCTTGTAAAAAAAGCAAAAACAACAACAAAAAAAACAATCTTATTCCGAGCATTCCAGTACCTTTTTTTTGTGTATGTACTTAGCTGTACTATAAGTAGTTGGTTTGTATGAGATGGTTAAAAAGGCCAAAGATAAAAGGTTTCTTTTTTTCCTTTTTTTGTCTATGAAGTTGCTGTTTATTTTTTTTGGCCTGTTTGATGTATGTGTGAAACAATGTTGTCCAACAATAAACCGGAATTTTATTTTGCTGAGTTGTTCTAACAAAGCTGTCTCGTGCCTGTTATTTCTGTTGTAGTTTAGACTTCTGGGGAGGGGCCAGGGTAGGAGAGGATCTTGAGCTCAGGTCCAGGTGTCTCTTGAGGATGGTGGGTTGGAGACTCCATTTCAGGAGGGGGGATGAGTGACCTTGTGGGCAGAGGGTTTAGGTAGGTCAGTCACTGGCAGTTGGGTGAGAAGAGGGAACTGGAGGTGCTTGTGGGATCAACTTCTTGGTACCAAGAGCACTGACATTGGGTTCCTTATAGGGAGCCAGGTCTGGAAGGAGGTGGCTGGCTGCTGACCCCAGGTAGAGTCCACACACACGGCTGCACAGGCTAAGTTCAGATGAGGTTCTGGGCTCCTTGCCTCACCTGCCTGGGGCTCCCCCTGGTGGTGGCGTGAGGTACCTGCCAGCTTGCTGGGGCACTGAGGGAACCTGGTCCAGGAGCTAGGAGCAGTCCCTGGGTAGCTGGCCCAGCCGCCATGGAGCACCGACGGGTGCGGAGCCATTTGGTTTTGGGTGGTGAGTCAGCAGCTGGAGGGTCACCTGGAGTTCCAGCCCTCTGTGCGGTGGTGATCAGTGCCCAACAGCCATCTCGGTCCAGGGTGAGCTTCAGAGGCAGAGGCCTGTGCGAGGGCCCTGAGCATGAGCTCTTAAAGCTGCGGTGCCCCTTTACAGGGGTTCCGGAACAGGCCTCCGATCTAGGGTAACCTGGTTCTTGACAGCTGCTCAGAGCTGGAATCTGATCATCCTGCAAAACTGCAGCTTTTCTGGAAAGGGAGGTGGGCCCGTGCAGGGTGTGGGGGATGAGGTACTCCTGGGCACCAGAAGTGGGCAGGATGGAGGGGGCTGGTGCCACCTCGGGAGGGCCACTTTCCCCTTGGGGTGCCCTGGCACCATTGTGCTGCTAGGGGTGCTGTGGGCAGGGTTAGGTGGGGACTGAAGCCAAGTAAGGGGTCTTCAAAAAGTTTGTGGAAAGTGGGTGCTATGGGGCCAGCTGGTAGTGTGGAGTTTAAGGTGGCTGATCTCACTGGCCCAAATGCACAATTTGAAGGTGTGTTTGTGTCTGTCCCTAAAGTCCCAAGGGGAGAATGGAGAAGGATTGCTTCATGATTTCTCACTTTCCCTCCCCGTCCCAACCAGGTGTGCTCATGTGTCCTAAGAAAGAATAGGAAATGGGTACCATGACGAGGCATAGATCTTTTCTCCGTGCACCAAAACAAACACTTGATACCATTTCCCACAAACTCTCTGGAGTCCCCTCCTGCCTGGACACCTGCCCTCCTTACCCACCCTTCCTGCATACTGCCCTGCCTGTGGGGGGGCCTTGCCTCAGTTGTCAGCTGGTGGGGGGAGGAGCACATCTCTGTACCCTGGGACCCCACCCCTGCTGAGAGGTGGCCTCATGAGCTGTTTCACTCATCCTCTCTTGGGCCCAGCAGCTGGCGTGGGCCAGGTCCGGGACTCTGAACTGCAGTAGGCCATGTGGGAATCCAACGCCTTTAACCATCATGCCACCTGCTGGCCCGCAGTAAATAAAATTACTTTTTAAAAATCCTCTCTTGTCTTCTCAGGTCCCACCAACCTTGCACTGAGTCATCTGTCCTCAAGTTGCCCATAGCCTGGCAGGGCGGCAGACCTGCCGTTAAGGACCAAGACACTCACAACTGCTTATGCTCACCTGCTCTCCCCGACAGACATGAGTGTCAGGGGAGCGGCCAGACCCGGAAGCTCCAGGAGGAAGGGAAATGGCCGTGCTGCAGACCCAGACCTCGCCTACCCCATCCACACCTCCCACACCAGGCACAGGGCTTCTGGGAGGACCTCACCCTCTGTGGCTGGAACTTAGGTGCAGGTGGCCTGGCTGGAGTTAGAGACAAACGGGCTTGGTAGGAAGGACCTCTTACCCTGTGCATACCCCACCCCCCTGCACAGATGAGGCCTCTGCTTCCTGGCTTGCTGGCTCATCCAGGGAAGAAAGGGAGGTGCTCGATCCCCAGCTGGCCGCCTCCTGTCTGTCCTGTCACCCAGGGCAGCTCAGTTCTCAGAGGACATTCCAGGAGGGAGAGTGCCCAGAGCAGGAGAGCTGTGAAGGCTACAGGTAGCAGCGCCCCCTCCGGTTGCAGCCTGCCTGGAGCCGGTACCCGCAAAGGAGGGGAAGTGCCTAGCCTGGGTCCAGACAGGACGTGGGTGTGAATGTGCGCAAGTAGCTGCACCGTCTTGGCTTCACTCTCCTCCTCTGCAAAAGGGGGACAATAAGATGAGTCATAGCCAGCACCCACGGTGGCCTGACACTCACATGTGCCCGCCCTGCGAGACCCTCTGTCCCCCACTGCAAACCTCACCCCACCACAGCGGAGGCCCAGAACAGCCCCTGCTGCCCCCGCTGTCACATTTCCCCCCTTGACTTGAGCCTAGCATATGATTAACCACTGCCAAAGATCTGTCCTGAGTCTGGGGTCACCTTGATCCCTCTGCCAAAGCCCCCTCCAATAGCAAGGACAGGGCCTCCCGAGTAACCCTTGGGAAGATTCGTGAGGGATGGGCGCCCTCTGGTGGACACAGAAGAACTGCAGGAAGCTCCCCAGGATCCTACTGGTCCCTGAAAGAGGCCTCCAGACCCTGTTCGGGTCCCAGGGCAGATGGTGGCCTCAGCCATCTTCACCCAACCTGAAAGGCGGCATGACTTTTCTCCCTCTCTGCTGCTGGAACGACAGAGAGGAACATGAGACAGGAGAGTCGGTCACTCCAGGCCTTCCCTTTGGGAGCTTATGTCTCGGGGACCTGACTCTTCTCTTTTAAGGTTTTTGCCATAGGGTGTATGCACTCGCTGGAAAGAGATAGAGACAGAGAGACAGAAAGTGAGAAATCTCCCCTCAGGGGGATGGTCATGCCGCAGTCCCTTCTCCATTCTTTCAGGATTTGGGGCACACACGCACATACATGCACATCTGGTGTGATTTTTTTTTCCTTTTAAAGATTTTTGTCATAGGGAGCATGCACTCACTGGGGAGAGACAGTGAGAGGGAAAGTGAGAACTCACCCACTGGGGGGGATGGCCACACCACACTCCCTGCTTCATTCTCTTCCTGGGATTATGGACACACATACACATGAGCCTGGAGTGATTCTTTTTTTTTTTTTGGAGAGGTTTCTGTTATAGGGCATGTGCACGCTCACCAGAAAGACAGACAGAGAGACAGAAAGTGAGAAATCACCCACCAGGGGGATGGCCACACCGCAATCCCTTTTTCAGTCTCTTGGGATCTTGGGCACCCACGCACACGCGCCCGGCGTGAGTTTAAGCCACTGGGTTCAGGACCTGAACTGCAGTCAACTACATGGGAGTCCAGCGATATAACCCGTACGCCAACTGCTGGTCCCAAGCCTGGAGTGATTCTTAAGCTGCCAGATCTGGGTTTTGAACCACAGTTGACCATGCGAGTCCAGTGCCTTAACTACCATGCCACCTGCTGGTGCCAGGACTTGACTCTTCTTTACTGGGAGGCTTCCCCAGAACTGGGGGCGGGGTTCCAGATGCCTGGTGGCTCAGCGCCTATGGCCATGTGCCCAACGTGCGCTGCTGAGACCCTTGGTGCCCAGGGCACACGTGGGGGATGGACACTCCACGGCTCATGAGGCCTCGTGGTAGGACCTCACAGTCCTAGTCTTGTCCTCATCCTTGCTGTGGCTGCTGCTTGGCCCTCGGCCACCACAACTGGGGGCTCGGAGCTGCTGCCACACCACTCCAGGTCTAAGTCCCATAGGCCCCAGTCCCCCCAGAGGCCCACCGCCCAGCCTGCTCTGCAGGCCAGTGCCTGTGTGCATGCCAGCCTTGCCTGCCTCACCACCTAGCCCTTCTGATGGGAGCTGCTTCCCAGACCCAGCCTCATTTGGGGCCTGCCTCAGTCAGGTTGGGTCTCACATGCCTGCCCTCCCCCTGCCCCAGCTGCCGGCTCAGCAGGCTGGCCCCTGATACAGATGGGGTCCAATCCTGCAGTGTGACTGTCCTCCCCGCACCCCAAGCCCTGATAGGCAAGGGCAGGGCTGTCCCTGGAACGCTTATCTCTGGAGACCCCAGTCCACACTGGCAGGATGGCCCGAGCTCAGCGAGGGAGTGGAGCACACATTTGGAAACGCGCAGGAAACGCTTTAAGGCCCCTGGCACATCCATCTTACATACTGGGCGATTAACGTGTGCATTATTTGCAGAAAAGGCCTGGCAGCCAGTGGCTGTCGTGAATGTCATGAAGTTGTGAGCACAGCCAGCAGACCCAGCCTGGAGGACTCAGCCCCCACGGGCCCTTCATCAGACTGCTGCCCGTAGCAACGAGAAGTGCCAGGTGGTCACTTGAGACAACCTCATTTCACATGCACCCTTGCAAGGACCCAGCTGTGAG